TGAAGAGAAGGGGCTACTATTGGGCATTATAATGCCTTTTTCTAACATCTCTCTGACCATCTTCTCAATTTATTCCTTTTGACTGTGAGGGTATCTATAGGGTCTAACCTTAATAGGACTAGCTCTTGTAATCAAAGGAATATAATGATCGTTTGATTTACTAGGAGGAAGACCAGTAGGAACCGCAAAAACATCATGACAGGTATGCAAAAGTAATGCTAATTTAGGGTCCAAATTCTCAGGTAATTGCAGCCCGTGATCAACAATACAATGAGGTTGCTAAAATTGTAGTGTAAATAGTTCAATATGGCACGAGTCCTTTGAAATCTCCAAAGATGATGTATTGGGCTAGAGTCGGAAGTTGTGGTTTATCACCATGAAGTGTAATAAAAGTTACCTTCCACAAAGAACTTCAATGTCAAAGCCCTGTAGTAAAAATTATGGGGCCCAAAGTAGCTAACTAATCTGCCCTTATGACCAAATCTGCACTCGAGATTGACAATAAGTAAATTGGTAGTTTTAAAGAGTGCCCTTGGATCTAGACGTCAACTACCCTCACCCTATTGTCCATAGTTAAGGAATTTCCTTTATCGACTAAGACTTGAAATCTAGTAGTGTGTTCAATAACTAATTTCAAACAATAGGCAAGCTACGATTGCAAGAAGTTATCTGAACTATCATTATCAAGTAGTACTTGAATGGTGACCCATTGATAGTACCTTGAAATCGCATAGTACCAATGTTTGAGGCTCCTTTGAGAGCATTAAAAAAAAGGTGATGATCGTGGTTTAATGATTGCATGAGAGGAATATTGACTACATCAGGTGGTTTAGGTACCAGTTTGAAGTCCTCATATTCCTCTAGTTGTAATAACAAATATTGTTTATTGGGACTTCTATGGCTGGTCGAAAATTTCTCATCACAAGATAAACATAATCCCTTCTCCTGGCACTATTGCATTTATGTAGACATTTTTTAACATTGGCAAACTTAATTGATTAGGTTAGGCTCTCAAAATGAGTAGAATATTCCATATGTTGAGATTCCATCACTTCTAAAATTCACTTGACATCTGAGACAACTCTTTCAAATGAGTGATTTCAACCATGAATGAAAGTGAAGAATGAAAGCACCAATGTAATGACAAAGATAAAAAGACAAAGTATCATTTAAGAGAAAAACTATGAAAAGACAAAGCATCATTTAAGAGAAAAACTATGAAAGTATTATTATACTAAAAGTTTCTTTTCCCGTATGAAAGAAGGTTACTGCACCATGATAATAACTACATAAACAAATAAGAGAAAAACATAATGTAACAAACATTCTCCTCCTTGTTTTTTTTTTTCACTCTCAAATTTATATAACTATTTTCACCTCATACATAATTTTTCATATGAATATTGGTCCTTCTCATCTTTGCACTTTTTCTATTATCCACAATTATAAGATTATTTGTTACTTGTTCATTCTTTGTAACAAAATTATTCTCCTCTAGTTTCTTTTCTTGAATTGCCATTAAGCTATTACTACTTGTGACAAAAGATTATCAGAGATTATTATTTTAGATAGACTTACGAATGATTTTGTATGTATCTTGATAAAATACATTTTCTTCGAGTCCATGATACCATACCATAAAATGAATTGCACAATTAATATAAGATTGATGGGAAAGGATTTGCGTAGCCTCAAACTTTTTAATCCTTTCCCGTCACAAACCGCGTTCCATCGTGCTTTTCATCAACTTTACTTTCAAATAAATTTATTATATTTAAATGTTTTTATTTTTAAGCAAGTTTATTAATTATGTAGTGACCAAACTATTTAAATCAATACAAAATGTCACTTTCTATTACTTTTTGGATCAACATTAATTTTATATAAAAACATAGCATTTATATATATATTTTTTAAAATTAACTCGTGCCATACTTAATAATTTTCATCATTTCTGTGATGAACCTGAACACAGTCCAACTCTTTTAATAAAATTTAGTAATTTCAATTATAAAATAGTAGCTTTAGCTTGTTCCATATTGATCGCAGCGCTAGGTAGAGAGGCAAAATGATAGAAGCAATGAAGGTCCTCATAATTCTCATGACTTATATGAAAAGGCTAAATTATTGAAATAACTGAATACATTGTTTGATAAGTATATTATATATACATGAAATAATGGTTAGGTACAAAGAAGTTTTCCAGTGAAGTTGAGTGGTGGATTGAATGGTAGAGACTATCACTGACACGGCTACGTTTGGCTTCTGCAGAAGCAACTTCCAAATCTCCTATGAAAAAAAGGATTTTGTCCAAAATTCCACGACATGATCTCTCTTCAGCTAGACAGCTTTCTCCATTGAATTCAATTTCTGAATGGAAGCTTTGAGCAGTTTCTTTTTCCTGATTTTTTCTTGAACCCAGATGTCTCTGTATCTCTCCTTGGTGAACAAGATAGTAGTCACTGCCTTCTCTAATAATCTTCAAACCCCTATTTTATCAAACATCAAATAAAGTATTTCCCTTCATATCAGAAGTCTTATCATTGTTGCAAAAGCTGAGATCAATATTCATGTCTCAACTCAAATCCAAAACAGTTTTGAGACAAAAATTGGTTTTTGTTGAATACTACTGATTCATGTTAGAGCCTAAACTAGTTCTAGGTAGGAGGAATTCGATACATCAATGTTTTAGTTGCAAATATAACCAATAATTTTAAAATCAAACCGCTAAAAAAAGTATTGGTTTAGTGTTTAATGGTCAAACACTCATTCTTAATAAAATAATTGCAACAATTAAAGGGCACATAAGTTATCCCAAAGAAACAAAATACTGTAAATTTATAACATTAAAAACTAAATTGAGTTCTTTCTTTAATTAAAATCAATTTATACTGAATATATAAAAGTTCTTTCAAAATAAGTACATTTTAATATACAGTGAATATAAAAGATGGTTTCAAAATAATTTTTGTCATATTTTAAGCAAAAGGATTAAGACAACGTAGTATTAAGCTATTCTATTAAGTCTACTTTTCTGATTCTTGGACCAATTTTTTCTGAAAGTAAATTTGTGGTTTAAAACCATTCATCGAGAACGATTTATCTGTTTCCCAATCAAATCAATTAGCATTTCAAAACATGTTATTAGCAGTGTTATTGTTGAAAAGATTATAATGCATGTGATTAAGCAAGGAGAAAACAAAAGCTCCTCTGACCATCAAAAGATGAAAAATTAGAAAACTCACACTCCAATTCGATCACAACGATCTTGCACCTCATATACATCTTTCCATGATTTTGAGCCAATAGGAGCATAAAAAGCAGAATGATCTTCTCCCCATCTCTCTCTAAAAAGGTTACACCATAGATCATTGTCTGAGCCCACCAGCTTCCACTTCCTACACACTGCACAAGTGCTGCAACTTGTTTAGTTCAACCCTTATTCAAACAAGCTAATATAATTCTCAATTAAGAACTTTAACAAGTTTAAACTAATTAAAACTTGTATTATCTGGAAATTTAAACAGCATTAGGAAGCCACACATCTTCCCTACTCCACAATGTTTTTGTGATGAGCCTATGCCAAAAACTTTTGAGTGGAGTCAATTGTATTTGTGCAATAAGTGGTAGGCATCAAATGTTTGGTGAAGCTTAAAATCAAATTATCTTTTTATCACTTATCAAAACGACAATTTCAAGTGGCAAAATTTGGCCAAGCTCCAGATGTTGTCGAAGGGAGCTGTGTAAATGATTTATGTTTCTTGAAAAGTATGGTCACTGTTAGAACACGGCCAAGGGAACACAAATAACATATCTCACTGTTTCAAAGTGTAGGGAAGTTTCACACACACATACACATAGATCCGG